CGAAATCTCAAAATTTGCGAAAGTTAGAGCAACTACAGACATTTCTCAAAAAATTCAAGATTTTTTAAAAAGAAACCCATTTACCGGTCATCGCCAAAATCAATACCAACCTTCCTTTAGTGATTCTCTACATTAAAAAAAAATTAGGCTCGATATCTCAAAATTTACGAAAATTAGAGCAACCACGGACATTCAAATCCGTACACACACACACACGCACGCGCACGCGCACGCGCACGCACACGCACACACACACGCACACGCACACACGCGCACACACACACACACACATACGGACATTTTGTAAAAATGTAATTTTTGAACGTTTTAAAACATTTTGAACATATTTCCAAAGAAAACTGGAAAAAAAAATTTTCACAAAAACAAAGCTTCCTCTATAAGGAAGCAATAGGTTAGAAAATTTAAAAAAACGGAATTTTGGGTCAGCCCTCCACTTTGCGTTTTTTCCGATTTTTTAAATTGTGCTAGGTTGTGCTATGTTATGCTAACATTGTGCTAAAATATTACTTTCAAATACTGATAATTATAGAAGTTGTAATAAAAAAATGATTTTGAACAATTTTCGACAAAATTAACGTTTAAATTCCCACCAATTATTAAAATGTTACAAAATTGTATATCTGAGTTGTGCTGGTCCAGCACAAGTCAGCATAACTTTCAAATTCACCGGCACAATGATATTAAGGACACTTTACTCTTGAGCGCGGCCCTTCGCGCTTGCATTCTTTTTTCAAAATTTGGGTTTCTGACTCTCCGATGTAGTCGAAACTGTATATCTGAGTTGTGCTGGCCTAGCACAAGTCAGCACAATGTTCAGATTCCCCGGCACAACGATATTAAGAGCACTTTACTCTTGAGCGCGGCACTTCGCTCTCGCATTCGTTGTTCAAAATTTGGGTTTCAGACTCTCCGATGTAGTCGAAACTGTATATCTGACAAGTTAAATTTAACAGATATCACATGTCTCTAACGGTCCACACAAATTTTTGTGTTAATTTAACGCATAATATGGATATTTGGATATGTTAAATGATTACACTAATACTCTGTTAATATCTTGACACAAAATAAATGCGAATCTTAAAATAATTTTAAATACAATAAATTTTGTGTAAAATTAACATATTTTTAATGACAAAATGAATTTTAAAAAATGTAATTTTCACATTTTACAGATGTAATAAGTCAAACGACGATTCGAAATCACTCTCACTTATGTTATATAGAATAGATAAACCTTGTTACTAATCATATCGAACATATGTATCGTGTAAGATCTAAAAATAAGTACACATTGTGTTGTTTTAACATTTCTTTTCAGTTATTTTAATAGTTTTACATTTGATGTCAATTAACACAAGAGCAATATGTTAAATTACACATAAATGTATTAAAAATTTAACACAAAAATTTTAACCGGCATTTTTAAACAAAAAAACAAATTTTCCAACTGTGTAAATAAGAGGTGAGGTATTACATAACACCCTGTATACATCTAAAAGACTTTAGGAAACTTGTGCATTTTTTGTATTTATCAGTTTTATCAGTTTTTTTATTTGCCAAATTAACATTACGAGAATAACATATGATTTCGTAAACATTATAATTCTAAATATTGAAACTTTAGAGTATTAGAACAAGAATAAATATTTTGGTAAATATGCAGAATAGGTCACACCTCACCGATTTCCTCGCCACTTAGGTATGTTGTAGGGGAGAGTTTTCTGAGTAATTCCCCGCAAGAATCAAGTGGGGGACATCGGATGTCAGAATTATTGTACATCAGATGTCAGAAAATTATATTTTAGTGGTTAAACATTTTTGTTTATAACTTTTTAATAAACACCGACCGATGACAAAAACTTCTTGAAGGTCACTCAGGGTCATGATCTTGACAACATATGTCAAGATCAAGTTCATTTGGTTGACCTTATCTAAATATTTACCAAAAAACGTATTAAAAATTTCAGTTTTCAATTTGTTATATCTCCTAAACCAATGCCGTCCCCCACTTGATTCTTGCGGGGAATTACTCAGAAAACTCTCCCCTACAACATATCTAAGTGGCGAGGAAATCGGTGAGGTGTGACCTATTCTGCATATTTACCAATATTTTTTATAGTCTATGAAAATAGAGACGAGAAAACATTATATATTTAAAAAAAAGACGTCAATATCTATAACATAACATAGAAAACAACCCATTTTTTAATGAATTAATAAAATTCATTATTTATACATATGTATAACTTTCAATACATTCCGTTTACATATTCTGAATTATAAAGGTCCATAAAATATATCTAATTAAAAACTGTCTAATGAAGACTGATACCTTGTCCCCTTCTCCAAAAAAAAACTGTACAAAATGTAACGTAGATTTTATTAAAAATTAAAGCTTATAGTTTTATACTAAAATTCGAGCTAAAATTGTATATTATTTGACCACCTTCAATCAGGTGACTGCTCACATTGCCCATAATTCTTTTTGTTTTACCATCTCAACGACCAATATTGTATTCTAAATTTATAGTTGGATTTTATTTAATATTATGCAATTTTTTTTCGCTGTATTAGGGTACAACGTCAGTCGGTCGAGTGGTAAATATTCAGCGAGCATTACCTGACGCGTGCTTTCGATATTGCGATATTCATAGTTTGAACGTTATTGTGTGTACTATAATCTTTAGATAGCCATAAAATACGCACTCCGGAACAATGAGCCCGATGCCGTATTGTTATTGATGTAAATGGCGCAGGGTTAAACGACCATGAGAGAGTTTGGATAGACAGTGTCACTTCGATTAAGCGTGTATACGGGTGAAGCGCATAACCGGTGTCACATAAACGGAAATGACGCGCGCGTCGTAGTAATTGCATATGCATATATTCAAAAACTTCGAAGTTTATGGAAGTACAATATCACTGAAGAATTTTTGTAAGTATTATATAAATAGCTAGCTATTTTTGAGCTTATTCATATCTTTCGTTCTTCAATTTTATTAATCGGTTAATAGATTATATAGAACCGCCATCAACAGGTAATTAAACAAATTATCAAATAAAATGCAATAAAGAAAAAAGAATTAAGTAAATAATTTATATATAATTTATATTACACAATAATCTATATATATGTATATACAAGTGAAATTCTATCCGTCTATATATTCTTTATAGAGTTCTATACCAATGAACCGATCTGAATCAAGTTTGGAATAGTTATTCAGTAGGATTCGGCGAAAAATATAGGCTATCTGTTAATCTGGATAGCCAACTTTTGCCTCCTGAAATCATTAGAGTTGACAGTTCAAATCTCAAACCCTGAAATCAATAAATTTTAATATCTAAACTCACGGAAAGATACTACAATTTTAACATAGGTCCTTTAAGATATAAAAATCAATTAGAAATTAAAGAGGCCGTTTTGGACCGGGCATAGGTGTAAGTTAGCCAGTTAAATTAAATTATTTATCACGGAATATCACGGAAAGATCTTGATCAAGTTTGACAATGTTATTTTGTGGAATTCTGCGAAAAAAATAGGCTAATATAAACTAGGTTAGCCAAAAATTGCTTTCAGAAATCAATAAAGTTATGGTATATAAGAATTAATACAATAGAATAGATAATTTGTGTATTATTGATATTTTGAATCACGCAGATAGACGTCGCAAAGTTAGAAAAACATAACATTTCGCTAGAAATTCATTCTAAATTGTATTTTAATTGACATTAATTGGATTCAAATATTATATATAGGTCAAAAACCCATAATTCTGAAGGCGTAGTTTCAACTTGAATTAAAATGGATTTAAATAATGATGATAATAAAAACACTGACAAGATAGACGCATATAAAGATAAGTAACCAAATTAATTTTACTTTGGTATAAGTAAAACAATTAAGTTTGGGTTCGGGATCCTGTATGTTTGGGGGAAAAAGGCTTTTTGGGATTGGCATTATGTATTTTTGTACATTACTCGAGAAGCAGGAAAAATAAATTTAAATAGAATTAAGATATACAGGATGTTAATTAAAGACCGCCCACTAAGTATATAGCGTTATTCCTTATAAAAATCTGAGTCGAAAAGTGCTGAACCATTGTTTCTATCATGCTTAATAATAGGTTTGTTTTCTGTTCCTGCACTGGTGAACTAGCGTAATAAATTGGAGTAAGACAAGTATATTTTTTCTCATTCTAGCTTACTGCACTAGTTCACCAGTACAGCAACAGAAAACAAGCCTAATGTATAAGTCAATCCACTGAGCACCGGCCTTTAGCTGGGCGCACGTCAGTGAGCCGGCGCGGCGGCCAAGCGCTCACGCACACTACCAGGCGCGCGGCTCACTGACGTGCGTCCGGCTAAAGGCCGGCGTTATGGAGAGTTATAGTTATGGAAAAATAGAAGATAAAAATATATTACAAATACGAAAAATATAAAAGAATAAATTAAAAAGTTTTTGAAGTTATAAATTTTAACCTAAGATGACAGTAAAAATATTGAAACCATGATATAATTTAATACACAAGTTACATTTTTTAATTTAGTAGCGAAAATAATAAAAGTTATTACGTAAATTATACTTTTAACAACAAGGGAAGGAGGAAACTAAATGGAACACCCAATTTTTTATTGCATTATCTTTTTCTACTAATTAATTTAAATATTTTTGCCCAAAACATTTTTTATTTGTCCCTAGTGAAAGCAAGATCGGTGGTTGATCCAGCCAATAAATGCAAGATATAGATCAACTACCAATCTTGCCTTTATTGGCTGGATCAACCATCGATCTCGCCTTCATTGACTGGATTTAAAGAACGATAAATTCTAGCCTATTATTTTTCTCGCTGAAAAATTAACAAGTGGCACGTCTTAGTGCCTATCTCCTCGAAAATACATCCCTATTTATTACTATGGACCCCTCTATGCACCCCTATTTATTACCATGACATCGTCATATAACATTTATTGTCGAACATTTGTGTTATAAATGCATTCAGGTTCAGGGTAAACACTTTGAACAACTTCTGTAAACTGTATGCAAGTGTATTTGAGATAATAAATAAATATCTACAGGGTGTGTCCCAAAAGTCATGAAATATATTTTTTTACCGCACCCCTTCTGGTCGCAGCGTGTTTGAACCGGTTGGGTGAGATGGGGGGGGGGGCCCTTAGCTTCATTGCGCACCAACGGTCAGTCTGCTGCGAGAATCAGAAGAATCAGAATGGCTGATTTAGTGCACCCTTGTTTTCGAGACCACGTCACGACGCGCGATGGCTACTTTCGAGCAACGTTGGGCGATCAAATTTTGCACAAAACTCGACAAAAAAGTTACCGAAACTCACGAATTGCTCAAGCAAGCGTGACGTGGTCTCGAAACAAGGGTGCACTAAATCAGCTAATCTGATTCTTCTGATTCTCGCAGCAGACTGACCGTTGGTGCGCATTGAAGCTAAGGGTCCCCCCCACCTCACCCAACCGGTTTGAACACGCTGCGACCAGTAGGGGTGCGGCAAAAAAATATATTTCATGACTTTTGGGACACACCCTGTATAATTTATTTCATAAGTGTAACAAATGTCATCTAAGATCTTTGTGGTGGCATAATACCTTAACGATGCTTTAGGACCTGAGCAGACTGACTGTCTTATACCCTTAAGACAGCCGTAAAACAATGTTTTTATGTTTTAAGCCTTTGCCTTGCGACAACGTACAATAACTGTCTTACGGCTCATTCAGACTGGACGCGATGGGCGATCGCTTGTCGCGAGCGACGAGTGATATCCAATGGGAGTTCTGCGTTTTATTGCGTCACTTCCTTCGCGAGGCTAGTCGCGACGCCGCTTCGAGAGTTGGTTAAGTTTGAACTTTCATCGCTCGCGACGAGCGAAAATTGGTGGAGAGAGCGGCAACGACGGCTTGGTTAAAGAATACGTAACTATTGTATTGTATATATATATATATATATATATATTCGAAACGCATAACAGACGCATAATGTGTATAATTTCTTTCACTAGCATCATTTTTTTGGTAGCGTTTCGTATTAATCAAACCTCAAATACGATTGAAAAATTAATTACTGATAAAATGATATTTTTTTCAACTCGATAACATCGCACTCCAATGATGTATATTACACATATCATATTTGAAAAATACTTACGGCGAGAATTTATAATAAATGTTATAAATTTAGAAATTAAATTTATATTTTCGATTATACACAAATCAAGGATGAGCCTCTGTAACGTTACGATTTTCCTTGTGTATTGATTGAAGTTTAAGGTTACATACGATTTTTATTTAAGATCAATACTTTGTTTTTCCGATGGCGCGTCAGTCGTTGCGTGCGATTCATCGCGTTCAGTGTAAACAAGTGACAAACGTCGCGCCATCGCTCGTCGCTCGCGACAAGCGATCGCCCATCGCGTCTAGTTTGAATGAGCCATTAAGAGTACAAGATAGCCATTCTGCTCAGGCCCTTAGGTTACTTGATAAAACATGATCCTTTCTGTGAGACCTGTCGTTCCTCAAAATTTGTCGCAGAGATCCTGAATCACCCAGTGTAAAACATTTTTAAGAAAATAGGCAAAAAATATTATTGTGACTCATGCTTGCAACTACTAATTTCAAAGAAAATTAGTGAAACATACTTTAAAAGATAATTTATAAATATTAAAAAATTAGTTAGAATAATATAATTAACATAATATACTAGATGAATTTATGATATAAAAAATATACTTAAATAAGTTTGAATACATTTGAAGGATTTTAAAATATTCCAATTTCAGTAATACTTCGAAATGGCTTCGAGATCAGAAGAACCGTATCCAGAAATTGTGGAGGCAGGGGGAAGAGAGAGAAATACAGGGTAAGTTGTTGAATTTAATTTCCCAATTTGTAATATTTTGTCAATATTTTTCTATAATTTCAGGACAAGTGACGGATTTGGCAGATTATTGCTAAAGTTTCTAGCAATTTATTGGAGATCCTTCGTTGTGATATTATGGCCATTAATCCTGATTCCGATATTGACTGTCGAAAGTGAAAAAGTATGTTCCTTTCTTTTAATTACATTCTACTTAAAATTTCAAAATTAAATAGATACATGATTAAATAGATTAGATTAAATAGATACATGATTAAATAGATACCGGACAAATTTGGAAAATCTAGAAATAGAAAAATATTAGAAACAAAAAAATTATATACATGTATACATATATTTTTCTTCGTTTATTCTTCCATATAAGTAATACATACATAGAGGTGTATATCTTCGGGGAGATAGGCACTTGTGACTAAGATGCGCCATTTATTAAGTTTTCGACGAGAAAAATAAGTTAGGACTAGACCAGAATTTGAACCTGAGACCTTTCCCTTACCGGACGAAAGTTCTTCCAACTATCCAGGCAAATAAAGTAGTAGTAATAATATAATGGAAAAATATTAGAGCAAAGAAAAACACAGAATCGCATTAAACTTATACATATATCAACTTATACATATATCAAATTGCGTTATGATGTAATTTTGAGAAATTTGCAATTAAAGTTACAAAAAATGTAATGTATCTTGTTATATTATAAATACGATATGTAACATATCAAAGAAAGGGTATAGCCGGATAAGGTA